ACAATGACCAGGACTGACAGAGTCAACTGCAGGACTGGTTACAGAGTGTCACCCCACTTACATGGTGCTTGGCTGGCAGCTGCACTGTTACACCACCTGTATGGTATACGTCTCCCCAGGGACACCACACACTCCAAACTCCTGACCTTTCCCTTTATGACTCCTTGACTGTCTTGGACCGCCGGCGTCCAGCTGTCCCTAACCATCATCTCCTCCTCCCCTCTGTCTACAATATAAGGGCAGGAATGCAGTGGACAGCACAGTCCCAGAATAGACAAGTAGCAGCCCCTATCTCCAACCACACAATCTGCCTGATAGAGGGCACCTACATTACAAGGCAGCCTGGAGCAAGAGAGCAGACACATGCAGCACGTTGGCACACATACAGAAGTCTCTGCTGCAAAGATGCAAAACTTGTGAATGCACAACACTTTTGCTTATTGTGGGTTAGATCCTGATGGTGACGCCATCCCCTCCTGTCTCTGCCCCCAGTTTAGTGTTGAAAGAAGAGTCACTGTCAAAGCCTTCAGCTGGCACCTGATCGAGGTTAATGATAAAACGAAATGGGTGTAACGATTCTGTTTGATGTTGGGTCTGAGTGGAGGTGCGCGGGGTGAAGGAGGGTTGGATGTTTGATGAGTGTGTGGCCTGGAGATTGGTGGAGTGAAGCACTGAAAGCGCAGCAAAGGGATTCTCTCCCTAATCTACAGAAAATCCTGCTGTGAAAAGGATTCTGGGTGTAGCGCTTTCTCCTCTGAAGACGATATTCGCGCTCGAATGCTCACAGAAGCTGGCAAAGCAGTCTTGGCTCTCGTTCTCTGTCTAATGTGGACACTCACAGGTCATTATCTGCCAAAAGAGGAGCAGAGGCATGGTTCAAACGGGGGGCCTCACTGACATTGAAAGCAGACGTGAGCAATCCGTACGAGTTATATGCCTGGAGTCACCGGATTCATGAGCATTCCTGCTGCCTCGCTGCATGTTGATAGCTGGAACTGGCAGAAGATTCAAGGCATGAAAGCTCAGATTCTCTTCCATATACCACATGCTGAGTTTCTACGCAATCCGGGAAAGGTGGGATGTGATTTAATAGTAGGGAAATATGGCAAATTAAAGATATGGCGGGGAATTGTGTGAGCTTGTCTAAATCCATCCATCCATCCATCCATCCATGGTCTGCTCTTGTCCATCCATTCCTCTCCCCTGTGGTCTGTTTTTTGACATGAGAAATGTCCTCCTGCTCCTTCCAGTTCCTTTTACACCCCGATGCATAGTCATCAATTTGCGAAACTCTTGGGTGACAACTTTATTAAACATAAGAGGGATGGAGTTAACAGGAAAGGATGAGAGATCACTCTTTCCCTACCTTCGTACATATAGTGACAGTATTTTATTTATGTTTTTTACACAATTTAGATGCAGTGAGTCTGATGTATTTGTTATCTCTGAAGGGGTGGAAAGTTTTGATACAGGACTGACACTGGAAGTACTCACACACACTACAAATGCGTACTTTGTGAGAGCCAAAACCAAACAGAGGCTTGGAGGATCTCAAACCCGCCGAACGTAATAGCTGTCAAATATGACTTGAATTTGGAGAAAACACTGCATTTTCTGACTTTTTCAGGGATTTTAGGCAGGAACAGAAGGTTTTAAGAAAAGTGTATCTGCTGATGATTGTGCCAACAGAGGAATGAAAGCTCACTTTATGTGGGTTTCACAGATTGTCTGAAAATTTTGCAGTAGAATTTATGACCTCCAGGCTGAAACTGCTTGAAACTCTTGTTTTCAGCAATAAATGTTTCATGACGTTCACCTTCACCACCACTGTTCATTCAAATTAATGGATCTGATTTCAGGTAACACAGTCCAATTAGTGATCCATACATGGTAGGATCAAACTGGATCACCATTTGAAATGCAAGCAAAGAAGAAGGTTTTTTTTTTTTGCATTAACTTAATATTATTAGACATCTTTTTATGGCAAAGTAAAAATACTTGCTGTGTTTCTAAATTTGTGTTAACATTTAGAAACAAAGGTTGAAAGCTTGTTTGCTTGAAGAAAACTGAACCACCTGTCAACCAGCTGATGTCTTTACATTTCTCAACGACTACTTCACATTTTTCTGCCTAGAAGGAAGATCCCTCCATTATTCATTTGGATGCCTGGTTCTGCCATTTTACTCCATTCAGTATAATTCTGTCCCAGAAGTGATTTGTATTCAACCTTCTTATAAAAAATGTATCTGTAACTATGATAGATTTAGGCTATAGGAATACTTCAGATTGCATTAAACCAGGGTTTATTAAAGGTTATGAGTATCTTCATTTTGAAACAAGATGCATCCAAAGTGCATCTTAAAACATCTCTAAACTCTAAGTAATCACTGTGGAATGAACAGCCAAGTTTTGATTAAAAGCTTAATTAGACACAAGTTTAATTAGAAACTTTAACAGTTGAGCAAATTTTAAAACAAGTGTGTAACATAATCTTGCAACTTTGTAAAAAAGAAAATCAAACTGTGCAACTGAAAATTAATTGTAATTCCCACGGCTGCAAAAATAATACATTCAATATTCCAGTCGTAATCGTCTAATTCTGATAATGATACGCATCCCAAAGCAGTAATATTAAATATCAGCAGCAAATTTCAGTAGCTCCTTTGAATGTTGTGTTGATTATTTAAAGATAAAATAAAGACTAATTTATTAAAAGAGCCTTTCAGTTAAATCCAGCCTGTATTTTTCATCTTTACCTTTATGTCATTCCATTAATCCATAAGTATTTTTAGTTATGTTGATATTTTACTGTAAAGCACTTTGTGCATAAATCAAGTTTATTTCAACAAACAAGCTGAGATTAGCTAAAGAGGCTGACTGCTGATATATTGACCAGCAGAGGTTGTAAAACAACGCAATGACTCCTATACTGTATAGGCACCTCACTGTTGCTTTGTCATGTTATCCATGAAAGGAATTTAATTTTTTTTTCAAACATGAACTCAAGGGATGGTATGATTTAAATCTTAGTGGTTTTTTTTTTTTTTTAAACTTAGCTTATCTGCCTGATGGAAAACTTTGAATGTGTTAAAAATCCTTCTAAGCTGAAGTGGTTTTAAGCTGGGTATAAACAGCCTCTGCTCTGCTGGGACGAGCCTAAGGGACAACCCAATCTGAATCAGACAGTAATCTCTGCCATGTACAACATTAACCTCTCCTAATTGTTTATCAGAACCTCTTTTCAAAAAGGCATGAATGACGTCTTTGAAGCTGTAGTAATAATAGTGACATACATTTCTGGATCCACAAACGTAAGCACCGGATTGGTCAAACAAAAGGAGTTTTGTGAGCAGATACACTCAGGACCAAATTTAAAGCTTAAAAAAAATAGAAGCCAGGACTTCAGACGGAGAGGCGCTGAAGCTATGGGAGGAGAAGAAGAACATGATGGGGAACAGGAGGACAGCAGAGTGGAAAGAGACGGTTTACATAAACAGAAATGAGTGTCAGTTTGGAATGTCCGGTTGAGTAAGAATGTGGAAATCTAGAGTTCCCAGGTGAAACAATGGAGTCCTTATGCAAAGCGTTGTCATCATAGATGCTGGGTTGATGTGAGACGAATGCTGGTGATCTAGTCTGCTTCAGACTGAAGAGAAAACTGTCAAAAGAACATCTGAAACTCTCTTACCCAGATCACACACGCAAATGTTTAGATTCAGGTGTTTTCAGATACACTCCACATCGAGCTGCAGTCGCCACTAAATACATGTTGTATTAACTTGTGCTGTGTATTTTTCAGTGATGACATAGTTTGTTGTTTGTTGCTATAGCTTCATGGTTTTGTTTTTTTCTCTTTCTGCACATGTGGAAACAGACTTCTAGACTGTTATAATCCCCGTGTCCGTCTTTCCTTTCACTGTTTCTCTTTAAACCTTTTTCCCATCGTTCCCTCTTTCTTTCCCTCCTCTGTGTCCGTTGCATTTGAAAGCAATCCAAAGCAATTTCTTAAAAAAAGAGGAAAGAAAAGAAAAGAAAATTAGATCTACAGTCTAAAAGTATTCTGGTCTGGTAAATTCTTTATCCACTGCAGCAAAGCACCAATCACCCACCTACACACACCCATACACTCACCTTTGCTAAGTTGTCGTTTACTGTAGGTCCTTTTACATTATGTGAACAAATCATGTGCTGACAAGCAGAAAGAACTGTAAATGTGAAAGCTGAGACATATTATTGTTATTTACATAAATAATAATAATAATAACAACAAAATCACATCAATAAAACACCCATCTCTAAGATTTTGCAGCCAGTACCTTCTAAAAACAATTTATTTCCTAATGATTAAGTTATTAGCTGGACTAATTGAACCAGGAAATGAGTTACTCCAAGGATGAGCGGAGCGGTGAGCCAGCAGCACTGTGAGTACATGGACTCTGTGCCACTGCGTTCACCACAGCGGCAACGATAGACGGCCTTTTCCACGTCCCAAAAATGACAGAGAATAAAAACCAAGAGTTTAGGAAAGAAACAGGGCACAGGGTACGAGGGTGAGAAAGAAACAGGAAGAACGGATGTTCTGCATAGCGCCGGAGGTCAATGAGAGTTAATTTTCCTGCCGTCCTATCCGCTGGCTTCATTAGCAGTATTGACAGTTAGGTGATGAATTCATTGTTTTCTCTGGTTTGTCTGCAGCCATCATTTATATGCGCTCCTCTGTTATCTCTCAGGGCCCTGCTCCCTGTTTTTCTAGTCGCTTTTTCATCGCCTACATTTTTCTCCGTCCTCTATCTCTCCTGTTCTCCTCTGTTCTTTTTCATCATCTTTTCTTCTTCAACTCTTTAAGCACACACAATTTTTTTTCCCTGTATTTCCATACAGTAAAGAAAAACTAGTTACTATTGGTGACAGTTTGAAAGTGTATAGTGCATTGTGAATGCAAATAGAGATGATGCACACATACGTGATTCCACTCACATTTGGGCTCTTGTCTCTTTCAGATTATTCCCTCTTCAACCTCGTCTTCTCCTTGGACCCAAAATGCTTTGCTAAAGCTGGTAAAATGGAACCAAATCAACTGTTTAATGGATTTGGTCCCCTTCAACCAGCTGTAGCTGTGCATTGATCACTCCGAGGAGCCGACGGACAGCCACGCAGTGGGACAAAAGCGACGCCTCTTTTTTCCTCTCCACACATAAACTCATTGTCGTGTGTTTCTCAGCACCGGCGACTGTGTGCATTTATCTCTGTTAAAAAGATTACCAGAAGCAATTTATTTAATCTGACTTAAACAAGCCAAGTAAGTAATTATAGATATCTTAGTGCATGAATTGTTATGCTGTGTAAAGCTGTAACTGTATTGTCCTTTGGAGAATTGAATTGTTCTTTGGAGATTTTCCCCAAAAGTCTACTGAGAGGTGGAGTTATAAAGAAGTGAAATGGCTGAAACACTTTGAGAAAGATGCTCAGGTTTGTGTGCTCATGTGTGTATTAAATTTCAGTTTAATAAAGCCTTATTCCCAACTTCAAAGACCAACTAAGTATGTGCTTACAAAGCGGTGCTGGAGCTCATAAGTAATAAAGTTGCTCTCATCAAGTGATTGTGATGTTTTTAATAAGAACATGACTGGGATCCAGCTGGTCCCTGGGCATAAATTACATCCAAAATTTTATTGACATTAACAGCATGCTGAGCGGCAGATTTATGCAAGGCCAACTCAATCACTATCAGTGATTGAGTTGAACTATTGTTCTCAGTTACACCTGCAGTTTTCCACGCCTTCATGATGAAGATCCGTTTTCGCCATTCCTGGTTAAGAAGTCTATATGTACATGTACCAAATCTAAGCCTTTTACACATGGCAAAGGGCTTAAATTAGAGTAGATTTATGAAGGTGGGGAATAAAAATCTCCTCTGATACAGTTAATATCTTCCAGGTCTGTGCCTCACCGTTCAGCAGTAGAGTCGGCAAATGGCGTTTTGTGTTAGTACTCCCTGTAGAACCATCTATCAGTAACTTGAAGTTGCATCTTTTCCAACTGTAGACATTATTATAATGTCATTTTGCACATGTCATTTTGGTAATCATTAAGGGTCAAAATTATCTAAATTATCTGATAGTTTTAGACATTAATCCTCTCCAGAAAAGTGTCATTTCGATATTCCGGCCCTTCAGACAATCAAAGCTCTTAACACTTAAAATCAATTGTAAAAACAATTAAACAAATTGGTTCGTACACATCAGATGTTTCAACATTTTGAATAATAATGCAGCTTCTCCTAATCCCATCATGTGACCATGTGTGCCTTGCCATCTAAGTTTAGATTAGTTTAGTTTGAGTTAATTCTCATACTTTTTATGATAACTGCGTCGCTGTTTCCTCGTTTTGTTTTGTGTTTTTCACAGAATTTGTGTAGTTAAGTCATGTCAGGCTTGCATAATCTTTGTTTTCAACACTGACCACGGATGACAGATGAAAAATTTCCCTTTGATGAAAAATATTCTTTTGGCTAATTTTGCCACATTTTCAGAAATATTAATTAATGCATGTTTTCCCTGCCAAATAAATGAAATGAAATGAAACTATCTGGGAAAAAAAATGTAAGTAGAATAAACACTCAAACCTTTGACACCAATAAAAAGAAACATGCTGGCATAACCCTTTAAAGAATATATGTAAAAAGTATTTTAGTTATGGATTTTCAATTTTTGTAAATGTTTTCAAATGTTTAGGAATGTTCCCTTAGAGATGTGTGCAAAGTGTGCTGTAATTGTTTGTGGGCTGGGTACCATACTATGGTGCGTGACATGATAAATAAATCAAAAAATCAAATCATATTAATATTAATCATATTAAGGGATTTTGCTCACTTCTTCCTACACAATTTTTAAATAGACATTTTCCTCCAGCTGCACAGGCAAAAAGCAAAGGGCTCTTACACTAGTTATGTGAAATTGATAGTGCTAAGTGTAAATAACCTATTCTATTTTAAAACTTTAATTAGCTGCCTGAAGCCAAAAGGACTCTTTTTGTGCTCCTAGAATAATAATAATAATAATAAAAGTCTTGTTGCTGGTGGGAGCAAAAAAGGTTTGATGCTCATAAAAATCCTCTTTAAATACATGTAACTAAATCATCTTGAAAAACTTTTATTTATTTTAAGCAAAGTTTCCAGGAACTTTTATTTAGTGATCTTTTTGTTTCCCTGTGGTATAAATATAACATGACACAGCGACCCATTTAGCTATGAGTCATGAGGACGGATGACAATCCATTTTTATCTTGTTACCAGACACACAGAAAATGAAGGTAAGAGAAGAACAATCTCTGAAACTCACCGTTGGAGAGCAGCAGCAAAGCATGGTGTCTCGGGATGAAAATGTCACAATGATGACTCTCACACCCAGGGTTAAACGTAGTATTTCTCTTTCAAACTCCCAGGGGACTGTGTTAATGCAAGGCATTATAATCTTTTTGAAATATTAATACACTGTAAATGCACAGAGCCTTAAAAAACCAGTTCTGTTCTGACTCTGGAACATCTGGAGATGAGAAATCTTCATTAAATCAAGACAATTATGGGCAATCCTGAGCATCCTCTTCATGAGACGGTTCAAGGGTTCATGCAGCCGGGCAATGATTCAAAATACACGAGAAGGTCCTCAAAACACTCATGAGGCCCCAAAAAAGTGGGGTTGTGAATGCAGAGTCTAAGTCTGGTCTTAAATCAGTAGAGTAGGCAAAACAACTGCTGATTATGAAAGACGCTTGATTCCAGTTATTGTCAGCGGCTCAACCAGTTAGCAGGTGAGATCAAATTAGCTTGGATAGCTTTTGTCGCTTTATGTGTACAATTCTCTTCATAGAAAGCATTCACATTGAATGTATGCCACAATTGGGATGGCGACACAAAACATTTTCTAACACCATCTGATTAAATTGGTTCATATGAAAACCAGTTTTTCTGGATTTTACCAAGGCTGCAAAGTGGCACAGTTGTTAGCACTCCCTTGCAGCAAGAAGGTCCTGGGTCCAATTCCTGTCCTGGGGTCTTTCTGCATGAACTTTGCATGTTCTCCCTGTGTATGTGTGGATTCTCTTTGGGTACTCCTGCTTCCTCCCACAGTCCAAAAACATGACTGTGAGGTTAATTGGTCTCTCTAAATCAGGGGTGCTCAAAGTTGGTCCTCAAGGGCCAGCATACTGCATGTTTTAGTTCTCTCCGTATTAGTACCAACAACCTTTTCAGCGTGTCAGTGTTCTTCTTCTAATGAGCCATCATTGGATCCAGGAGCGTTAAAACGCAAGAAAAAGCAAGAATAAACTAAGAAACTAAATCAAATACAGAGGAAAAAAGTGGTATGGCAAGACCTTTTGAGCAATAATACAGAGCAGTCCTCTGTATTAATCATTGGCAAGAACAGAGAGACACTATTTTCAGGTAAACCGAACCAAGACCTCAAGTTTTGGGGAGACCAGAATTCACATTTTCGGTCTGCATCAGAGATTGATTTGCCACTCACACTTCCCCTAACGAACCAGAACATTAAATGAACCAAAGTTCACTTAAAGCTGACTAAACAGAGCTGGTGTGAATCCACCCGAGTGTGTTTGATGTGTTGCCCTGAAATACATTTGCAAGTTTGCATCCAATAAACTCAAATGGCAACGACGCCTGGCATTGTAGCATTAGCAGATGCAAACTATTGATTTTAAAGAAGGTGCCAATAGAACAAATGGCCCTCTCATTATTATGGCATTTGAACTCTGTCATCTCGACCCAAAGGGGAGGTTGATCACTCAGTTACAGTAAACAATGGCATTAAAACAGCAGAACTTCAGGTGAAAACTGAATTGAAACAGAAAGAAATGAAGAGTCGGCATGATCTGTCTTTCCATGCCAACAACGGAGCTAAACATCTTATCCGCCTCCTTGTATCTACCGCTGTGTGGAGCTTAGGGAGGTGTGACAGATGTTTTAATGTGGCTGTGATTTCTTATCGCCACACAGCTGAAAGCTCCATTTGCCTTGGTCTGGTGTGATAGATGGGCGGCCGAGGCCGAGGGGAGAAAGTAGCTATGCTAACGAATGTTTCAGCACAAGCACTTCAGAGCGTCTCAAGGCGTGAGGGTGTGCATGACACGATGAAGACGACGCACACTGCAGCGAATGGTGGATGTGGTCATTTTCGGTTTCAAGTGTCCCGGGAGTGATGAGCGAATGAGTAATTATGGAAAGGGAGGAACGTGAACGCAATTACACCGGGCCTGAAACACAGCTTGTCGAGACCCGGGGGCGCCGCCGCAGAAATGGAGAAATCAAGCAGAACACACAAGTTTACAAGCAAACTCGCAAATGAACAAACAAAATGACAGCAATGTTGATTAAACCCCAGTGTGTTTACAACGCGTTAAATCGGTAGGATTATTGAAAGTCAGCAGCATTACATCTCCTCGACGTTCACGAGAGAGAGAAAAAAGGGAAATGCCCAAAAGAACAGAAGTGATTCATCACATCAAACCAGGTTGGTATCACAGAAACACTTTTCTGTAAGCCACAGGGACTAAAGGCGCACCTGGAGTGAAGTCATTGCCACACATTTTAAACTACTACACCTGTTCATGGTTTTCTAGCCAGTTATTACACTGTGGTTGCAGAGAGAAGCTTCCCACAGAGCAGGAACTATAAAGGAAGAAAGAAGTCTGTTATCTGAACATTACAGCTAAGGCTCTGTTCACTATGGGCTTCACAAACATTTTAATACAATTCCTGTTTTAAGGTGGAGAAAATATTTGTCAGGATCCGGAATTGTTTGAATTTGGTTTTGGATTTTTGTCTTGTTTTCTACATCTGTTCTTCCTCCATGATTTTAGTTGTGTTTATTTAGTGTTTCTGGTTCTTTTCTGTTGTTCATCTTGTCTCTTCAGTCTAAGTCGGGGGTCGGCAACATGCGGCTCTTTAGACCTGCCCTAGTGGTGCCCTGGAGATTTTCAAAAATGTTTGAAAACGGAAAAGGATGGAGGTGAGAAATATATTTTTTGGTTTAACATGGTGCCTGTCAGAGGACAAACATGACACAATCATTCTTAACATTTTCCAATGGTTTAAAAATGTAGAATAAACATTACACTCTAAATTATTCTTTAGTGCCACTATTTTCCGTTCCCCTGTGTTCTCTCTCTCCCTCTCCTCAGTCTGCTTCCTCTCTTTCCACTCATCAGCACAAACCCTTTGTTAAACTGATAATCTCTCCAGTATTTTAGCCTCTCATTCACACTCACCACTTGCCGGATCCTTTTGTTCATCCAACTCCCGTCACTTCCTGGATCTCTTAATGGATTTATTGTAGATTTTTGTTCTCTGATTTTTACCAAAATACCTTCATTTGGGTCTTTCTACAAACCCAAAAGCAGACCATCCGTCATGACAATACCCACAAAACAATGAAAGTTAAGAAACCATCCCCACCGAGACGAAAGAAGCAAAAAAAAAAAAAAAGTCTTAAAGATTCCTCTTGCTCTGACTTTAATTGCTCAGGATGTGGATGTGAGGAAATCACGGACTGAACGGCTTTGTTCACTTTCTCCGCTGCC